TCTGAGAAACTCTGTTTGGATTGTAGAATTAAGCTCGCTGAGAAATTTGTGAAAGCCGTTTCCAAGCCTAGTCGGCCTGACATGAATCCCATCAGGTGAGCATATGGTCGCTCGCCTCCCAACTCCCCTCCCTGTTGCTGCTTTCTGGCCGACGCCCGATCCTGTCCAGTGAGGGGTGGGAGCATTGAGTGGCGAGAACAGGCAAAGTTGGTGTTAGAGATAAGGCTGCCCTTGACAAGCAATTTGGGGGCCCTCGGGGGTAACAACTGCCCAGAGTATCTCCCTATCCTGCCAGGCACATGGGGGCAACTCCACAGGTGGAGATTCAGTCCTGACATACTTCTGAGAGTGCTAACACACCTCAGGAGTCACCATTCACACTTGAGTCTCATTAGCATATCACCTGGCCTTCCGTTTTTTTTCAGGTATGAAAAAGGTGCTGAGGGCAAGGAAATTTTGAACATGAAAGGAAGGATGGTTTGAGGGAGTGGGACCCTCGGTGCTTGAGGAGAGGCCAAGGCTTATTGTCATGTTAGGTAATGTGAAAGTTCTAGGCCCCTAGGAGGGAAGGGAGGAAGAGAACAGAGTCAGGGAGAAGACAGATGGAGAGCAGACTTTTCCACAGTGGGCCGAGGGCTGAGGTTATTACCAAAAGGCCACTGCTTAGCCTTGCTCCTTGGGGCTTCATGTGGCTTAAGTGTCTGTTTATACTTCATCAAAATCATTTTTATTATTTTTAATGTAAATTTGCTTAGTTAAAATTAAATCCAGTATTATGAATATACTTTATAGATGTCATGTGAAAGTCTAAAAGGAATTTCTGTACTTTAAAATGTCCTGTCTGCTAGGTCCTGAAAGGCAGCTCCCAGGGACCTGGTCTCCATGGCTTGCGGTCTCTTGCTGGGTCTCTGGGAACCTTGCCGAGTAGCAGTTCCAAAGGCACATTCAGGGCCCCCCAGAGGTGGAGGGCTGGGCGCCAGGCAGAAGCCCTCATCCTGGGTAGGGGCACCTACCCACTAACCACTAGGGGTAACAGGACTGTTAGGACTATTTAGAAGTAACTCTGCTATACAAAGGCCGAAAATCCATGTACTCAGACCCGGCTTGTCCTTTGTTTTCTGGCCTCTGGTGATGGTGAAGATGGGGGTGGGAATGCTGGCAGAGACATCTTTGTCTGCCAAGACTTTTCTTCCTCTTTCTCCTTCTTGTCTCTGAGTAACCAGAGTTGCACGCTCCAGTTGCCCTGGCGCAGGCCTGGAATGGTGCCTGGCAGCTCTGAAACCTAGGGCTTGTCTGTGTAGGACCCTCGATCTTGGTGGGCTGGGTGGCTGCAGAGAGGACTTGAGGACAGGTGCAGAGGCTGCCTACCAGCTGCCTCCTGGAGGAGTACACCCCCCAGGAAGCCTTTGCCTATCCTCTCTCCATCCCTCTCCCTGCAGGGTGAAAGAGGTATACAGGCTGGAGGAGATGGAGAAGATTTTTGTCAGGTGAGTGACTCAACCAGCGTAGTCAGGTTTGGAGGGGAGCAGGGGTGGGGGGCACGGCTGTGTCCAGGATTCGTTTCCTATGTCTTTGTGGAGATGGGTTTGGGGTGGGGTGGTGAGGTGGCCCTGGAGGCTGCCTCTCTACCCCACACCCAACTTGCCTCTGTGTGGCTCCGATGCAGCCAAGAGCCCCCGGCTGAGAGCTGATTCAGCACCCTGTCAGGAGGGGAGCAGGGCGGGTGTGTGTCATGCAGAAATACGGGCTCATTGATGCTGTAATAGTTACGGTTGTCCCTGTGAGGGGCAGAGCAGCAAGCTGCTTGAAACACCATAAATCCCAGCTCCCAGTGCTGAGAGAGATTGAGCCTGGAGGGGTAGAGGGGGCATAAACGCTCCCTCGTATTCTTAGCAGTGTGCAAGGTGCTCGGGTGCTCCCAGATCTGCGTCTTGTCCTGGGTGTGCTTATGTGGAGGTGTTACTGTTAACTGGTTAGAGGCTGCAGTGTTGCCGTGGCACCTGGTTTCAGATCTCACCCTTATTAGTGTCACCCTGAAACTTCCCAAACAGCAGTGACACAACAGGGCCATCTGTTACCCCCATGCTTCCATGGCTTGGGAGGAAGTTCAGAACCTGAGTTCTAAACCCAGCACTGCCACTAACTCGTCTCTGTGCCTCAGTTTCTTCTTATGTCAAAGCAGGATAAAATACTGTGATTGTTATGATTTTGATATTAGCCAAAACTAACGTTTGGGCTTTTTCTCTCTGACACGCACATGTGCGCAACCTGTTTGCACCCTTACTCGGGGAAATCAGGTTAGAAATGAAGATCATCAAGGGCTCCAGTGGCATCCCGAAGCTCAGCTACACAGGGCGTGACGACCGGCACTTTGTGCCCACAGGCCTCTACATTGTCAGGACAGTGAATGGTGGGTGCTGAGTGACTGCTCCCTGCCCTGCCCCCTCCCGCTCCCAGCCAGAGGGACGGCCCAGACCCTGCCTGAGCCAGAGCTAAGGGCTCTCTATAAAGGTGGGCGGCAGCCGGGCCGGCTTTCTCAGAGGCGTGTGGAAGTTGGGTCGAGGGTGGGAGAGAGGAGCTCAGCCTGGATATACACACGTGGTGCTGCTACAGCAGGACAAGGGCTTCTCTGTAGACAGCAGCAGATCCAGAAAGTCAGGCTGAGGTTCTGTCCATTTGCACCCCCTTTTCTTCAGTGCTTTCTTGCTAACACAGTCCTGCATCCTCTGCCCAAGTCCTAGCAATGTCACCCTGAGGGCACATTGTCAGGACTGGGGTGGGGTTGTTGAGAAGTCATTTTCTTAGTCATCCTCGGAGCTCCTTTGGGCTGGTGATGAAGGCTGCTTCCTCATGGACTGTCGCCTGCCTGCTTTGGGGGGAGGTGGGAGTAGGATTGGAGGAAGCTATGTCCCTGTGCTGGCTGGTACTGTCCCTCACGGGTGCCTTGTGTCCTTTCTGGGCTGCTTCCCCCTTCCTCCTGTCAGAGCCGTGGACTATGGGATTCAGCAAAAGCTACAACATGAAGTTCTTCTACAACAAGAAAACCAAGAGCTCTACTTTCAGCCTCCCTGCAGACTCCATTGCCCCATTTCAGTAAGTAGCCCGCTCAGCAGTCCCTAGGACTGCAGTGGGATACCAGCCGGCCAGCCCTCCTGAGGCATTCTCCAGGTCCTCCTCCGACTGCTGCCCACGCAGGGGCTCCTCTGAGCCAGATTGAGCACCTTCATCCCCACAAAGGTGGGGATGGCAGTCCCTGCAGGTGGGGCTAGGCCTGGGAAATAAGCTCAGTGAGAGACAGTGATGCCTGGACCTGCTGTGATGGTTGGGGGTGCTGGGTGTGAAGGTCGCATCTGGGCAGTGCATCTGCCCCACAGAGCAGCCACTGCTTGCACGATGTTCTGACACTGGCCTGGTGGTGGGAACATGCTGAGGGTCCACAGCCTTGCCGCTTGCAACTCCAGGCCCCAGCGGTCCCACATCAGAACCCAGCGTCCATTTGCCAGCTTGTTGGCCATAGATTTCCACAGCAGCCCTAATGTACCTATAGTTAATCACTGACATTGTTTCTGTCACCACACTAACACTGTTCTATTAGAGAAGCACAGACAAACGAGGAATATCAGTAATTGTAGAAACAATGAGCAGCAACATCTGTTTGTTGGGAAAAGCTGGTTCTGGGAGGCAGGGAGGAACAGGTGGGGCCTGCTTGGTAGCTCTTGGCTGCCGGAGGGAAGACCTTCAACTGGACTCACTGACAGACCCCTGCCACTCTCTTCCCCCTACTCTTAGGAACACTTAGTGCTGTGCCAACCTGGGTATAGTCCTCTGACCTTTCCTGTCCTCTGCTTCCCAGCATCTGCTACTATGGCCGGCTCTTCTGGGAGTGGGGAGACGGCATCCGTGTGCACGACTCCCAGAAGCCCCAGGACCCGGACAAGCTGTCCAAGGAGGACGTCCTCTCCTTCATCCAGGCACAGCACAGCGCCTGAGCGCCTTGGGACACCCCACCCCTGCAGAATGTGTTGTTGTTCCCTGAGACAGGGTGCTCTGCACCTGGGGCCTGTGGTGCTGGTTTCTTCCCTCTTGGAAAGGGACTGGGAAGCACTGCAGCCTGGCCATCGTGGGCGGTGGCCCTTGTCCATACCCTGAAGAGCTCAGTCCGGGGCCTTCAGAGGACATTCACATGTTCCTTCTGGGACGCCTTCCGCCTGGGAACTGTTCCCTCTTCCAGGACTCAGCCGGAAGGAAGCTGCTCCTGAGGCAGGTTTGAGGTCAGTGCCCAGGGCACATGGAGCTGGTGGACATGTCTGAGAGTGGCAGAGCTTTGAGCTCTGTTGTTCTCTCCTGCATCCTGTAGACTCACTTTTCTGAGTTCCATGCACTGCCCCTGAGGGTGGCCATGCCCCTGCTTTGCCCAGCTTTTTATTGGGCCAACCCTGAGTGGGTAGAGACCCACTGTCATGAGCAGGCCAGGAGTAGCTGCTGTAGAAATCAAGGTTTTGTTTCTTTGAACTTGCTGTTTTAATGCCAAGTTGGAGGAGATTTTCTTGTCTCCTCCCCCCATTCTGGCCTTCCCTGGAGTTCTTCCCAGCCCAGAGCTCTGACAGTCCCAGCTGGCTGGGAAGGAGGAGTGTGGGCTCCCGTGCCTCTGGCACCGCATTAGGATCCAGGCAGCGGCTATCTTTGGTCCTGGGTATGACTGCCTCCTGCGGCTGTAGATCCTGTCTGGGCCCTAGTCCCTTTTGATCCGAACTTTGGGCAGCTCTAGAGGGCAGCCTTGAGGACCTGCCTTTTTCTCTCCCCCAGCAGCAGTGGCCCCACAGTAACAGAGCGTACCTCCGGGTCCGGGTAGCACTGGCCCTCAGGCAGTCATGTACCACCGTCTGCCATAGCCACCCTAGGGTCTTGGGAGAGTTTGGGGCAGGAAGGCGTGGCTTGTTGCTACCCTTTCCCTCCTTTTTTCTTCCCCAGTAGGAGGTACAATCTGCTTTTGTTTGTCCTTATGTGGTCACTCCATTTCCTCTATCTTGGCAGAGGCGGAGAGGGAGGAGGGGAAGCTGGGCAGTAGCTTCTGGGCGGGGGAGGGCATCTGTGGTTGTTTTTAATGGGAAATACCTCTCAGAGATGTTCAGGCAGGCTCCCTAGGGCCCTATCCCAGTGCCAGACTGGTTTCCATGGAGATAGGGCACTGAGACTCTTGAGAGGTTGGAATTGACTCCACCATGGGGGTCCTTCAGCCAGCATCCAGCCCCCACCCCACAGGCTGGCGGCAGCACTGCTGAGATGCTGTTTCCACCCAATTCTGGGTATATCAGTGTGTCTTGCAGAATCTTGGATCATTAAAGATAAACATATTTTTAATGCCTGTGTAGCTCTGTGCTGGGGCTGGTGCTGTTTGTCCTCAGTGCTTTGTGGTCTGGGACTGGCTTGGTTGAAACAGCTTGGGCTGGAGGTGAAAGGGAAGAAGCTCTATTCAAAGAAGAGGGGAGAAAAGAGGGTTTGTTTAATCACAGCCTGTCCAAGTTCCAGGGCTGCTGCTTGCTGCTCAAGAGGCACCCCAAGGAAGAGTCAGGGAAATTATGCAGCTCCACTAGCAGCAGGGCCTGGAGAATGAATGAACCCACAGCCCCAGGAGGGCAGAGAGGCACCTGTCCCCCCTTAAGTAAATCACACAGCTCACTCCAAGGTGGCACTGACAAGCCAGGATCAGTCTGTGTGACTAAAATAACAGAAGCGTCAGACCAATTAGTGTCACTAGACAGAGGGAAGAGAGGGAGGGAGTGATGGTTTTGTTGACCCTGGCCAGCCTCTTCCCCCTGAGGAGGGCTGGTTCTGCCTACAGGGGCTGCACTTGGGGTGGGGACACGCAGATGCTCCAGGCTATGGTTTCTCCATGGTTAGTTCAGCACGCTGATGCCGATTTTCCCCTAAGTCCTGACTATACTCTGCTGGGCTTCTTCGTCCTAGCCTTCAGGGTCTCTCCTTGATGTTTCACAGCCCTCGCCCCCCCAGGCGGCTCCTTTCCTTGTTTTTATGTACTTAATTGACTTAATGTCAGCCACTGAGCCCTTCCTTACTCTATTCTGCCTTGCTGTGGTCTCCCAACCTCCTGGCCCCAAGCTGGGAGTTGAGAGTTGGGGGGAGTGCTTTGGGGCACGGGGTGATGTCTGTGTTTGCTGCTCTGCCTGGGCTGCCCCTCTAGTCGGCCACACCCCTACCACTTCTCACTGCAAACCCCACCAGATTTCCTGACCACTGTCGTCATAAGTCTGGTCATTTCCATGGATCTTGCTGCCCACTCACAGGCCTCGACAGCCCTGCCTGCCGCTCGAAGATGGATTAACTCTGCGCTCTCTTGGGACATCCACATGACCACTTCAAGTCCCCAAGTTGCCCTTCACTGCACAGGCTGCATTTTTTCTGCCATAATTATAGGTGATGGCACTGAATGGAGGGCAAGACTGTGTTTGGTGAGGGGACAGACGGGTGGTACAATGTCTGCTGCTCAGCAGCAGTGCCCGAGCCCTGGAAGTGGCTCCCAGCAGTATTTGGGCTTGGAAAGTGCTTCCTGCTGTCTCCTTATTTCCTACTTAAGCTGGGGGCTGGCCGTCACAGCACCCTCCCTTGTGAATTCTAAGCTAGAGCTTTCCTGTGAATGTCTCTTCTTGATTCCTGAGTACCAGCCCTGCCACTGCCCTCCCCCCGCCCCATGCAGTCAGATCCTGACATTTACTCAGCAGATAGCAGCAGCCTGGTGTTCTTTATTGCCTCTCCCTTGGGCTCAGGGAGGAGCCAGCACCATGTCCTGGAGACCCAGGCCCCAGAACAGGCCAGGGAAGCAAGAGGGGCTGGGCCAACAGGAAGCCAGGCAGGGGAAATGCCCCTAGCACCTTGGTCCTCATGAGGCTTGAAAGGCCTGCTTGGTCCTGACAAAAAAGGGCCAAGGGGAAGCCGCGCTGGTTGTGGGGAAATCCCAGGCTCACGTGGTCCAGTAGGCATAGACAAGGGTCAGGAGGATGAAGATGGCCACAGAGAGCAGCATGTTCTTCCGGTTCTCTTGCCGAAGCAACTTTAGCTCCTTTTCTGGGAGAAAAGAGGGTGGGGATAGGACAGGTGGTTAGACCCATCTATTGCTCTTGTCTGCCTCTGTCTCTCTCTCTCCTAGTGGGTACACACACTGCCAAGGGCAGAGGTGTCCTCTTCCAGCCATTTCCTTACCCATAAAAATGACCTTGTCCCTGCCCAGATCCTCACACCCTTCTGGCTACAGGTCCCAGCCTACTTAAGGTCATGCCCAGTGCTGCTCAACCATTTCTCTTTAAAAGCAGTTGAGCTGAGGACGGGGTGGCTGAGGGGTCACCAAAAAGGCCACACCTGAAAGCAGAGCTAGGAGGTGATGTCACATCACCAGTGAGTCTTCTTGCCTGTCACGGGGTTGGCTCTGTGGTGTCTATCCTTCCAGGAGTCTCATGCTGCCAACTAGAAACTCTGAGGGCAGCTGAGACCTCCCTGGGTCTGAGGACAGAGTAAGTGCTGGGTAGGGCCACGTGTGCCTCCTGAGTCCCTGCCCTCTGTCGGGTGCCCCGCTGAGCAGGAACTAGGGTGCTAAGAGGAGGCAGTTTGTACCGATGTGGCAGCTGGTCTCAACTCCAGAGAAGTTAATCCTGCTGTTATACAGCCACACTTGTACCTAATCATCCCCTCCATGTGACATGCAAGTAGTTGGTACCCTGTGAGGCCTAAATTGAGTGGTGATGTGATTTTGTGTGAAAATTGCTAAACTTGAGGGGAAACCGATGTTCCAACCCTACTTGTGAGAGGGAGGGCAAAGGAGGAACCTGCAGACCGGCTCTGGGCAGGCCACACAGCCTGGGGTCCAGCATACCTACCCTCAGCTCAGCCATGTTTAGCTCCAGGTTGGGGGTGGGGGGGGTGTGCCCGGCCTCCACTTGGCTCTGCCCCCAGTGCCCAGAAGGTGGCAGCATCGCTCCACCCACAGGAGCCCTTCCCGCACCCAAGTGGGAGGTCTGTCCTCCTAATTTACCCCCGTCTTCCTCGCAGGGTTTTCCTGGTGTGGAGGGTGAGGGCAGGACACACCTCCAAAGTCTGGGTGGATGTGAGCCTCTTCTGGACTTGGCTACAGCCATATCCCTTCAGCCGAAAGAGAAGACAAACTCATAAACTATCTCTCGTCTTCGCTTGGAACAAGGAGCAAACCTGGCTCTCCTCCCAGGCTGCTGGGCCTACAGTGGGTTTCTGTAGCCTTTTGGGGGCTTTCACCCTTGCTCCCTGCCACCTTGGCAGGTTCCCTGGGATATCTGATGCCTCTCAACCCTTTAGGGATTGCAGGTTGGGGCTGGTAACTGAAGGGAACTTTCTTACCATAGTTGGAGGCTTTGCTCATCAGGCTGTTTTTCTCCTTCTCCAGAGACCTCCTGTGAGGGAAGAAGGAATTTTATGGCTCAAGCCCACTTCCTGTTTCCCACCTGAGGGGCAGCCGGCACACAAGCTGGACAAGGGGGACAAGGCTCAGGTCCTGGTAGACAGGGGACTGAAGCAGAGGCCAGAGACCCAAATGCTGTCTTGGGCCTAGTCTACTTTGGGGACCCACGAGAGCTACAAGGGACAGGGATAAGGAAGGGTGGGGTGGCTGGGCAGGAGCATTACCTGGCCTCTGGGCTCAGCTCCGCCCTGTGGAGCCTGGAGTTCACAGCCTCCAGATCTCTGCGACACTGGGAGAGCTTCTCCTGTAGCCCATCGATCTGAAATACACAGCAGATAGCGGTGGGCTGCAGAGTGTTTAGCTTTTAAAACACTGGAGTCAGCTGCCTCCCCCCACACACACACATTAATTTTTGCTGGGCAGGACACCCAGGTGTGCTTTCCCTGGAAACAGAGCAGCGGGTATTACCCAGGGTCTCAGCTGTCCTGACCCTCTGAGCCAGGTACAGATAGGGTGTGGAGAGGAACAGCCCCCGCAGTCAGCTCTATCTCCCCAGCACAACGCCCCAGTTAGGCTCACGATGGGACAACCAGAGCCCTGAATACAGCACACACCTGCCCCACAGGTGTATCCTACAATGAAATGAGACGCTGTGAGAAGGCTCAGTGAGTGGCTTCCAAAGCACTCCACACACATGGGATGGGCAACTGGGCATCTAAGGGCCAAAAGCAGAGGTGTCTTTCTCATTGGCATACTTCATCCTATTAGAATAATGGAGTCTAAGTTGTAAGAATATATTTATCTATGAGAATCAATAAAAATTACTAAGTAAAAAAAATGCAATTCAAGAACACTTCTGTTTTTTTCTGATTTGATCCTTGTGCAAAAATGTCTATCAAGGTAGCTGTAATTTGTGTGGCAAAATCACTATGGTATCTGTTCTTCCATTTGTTTTGAGTACAGTTTCAGAGATGTGTTCTTGGGGAAATATTTGAGTTATGGGAAAATGTTTGATAAAATACTGGATGGGGTTGTCCGCGCCTGGGTTCTGGTATCATGCATCTGGCACTCAAAGTCTATCTTCTGGTCTGACCCAGGCCTGCTCTGCTCCCACCTCAGCCCTGTGGACCAGAGCCTAGATTTCAGTGGGTGGGAGGGTTCAGAGGTCTCCGTGTCTCTCCCAGCAGCTGACTGAATAGTGCCCCACAATGCTAGATTTTCCATCTCTGACTTCACTCATGCTCACCACATCCCTGGGAGGGATAGCAAATATGACCTCCACTTCACAAATGGGAGAACAGGCCCCCATATGCAATGACTCTTCTGAGGAGTCAGAATGGGGAGCCCCTCTCCTCCTCTGTCTCAGCCAGTTCTCTGCTCCATTCCTTTCCAGAGCTACCCCTGCAGGGACAGTAATCGCTGACTGCAAGTGAGAATCCCTGCCTCCCAGGAAGGCTGGGCAGTGTGGGAGCCCCAGGCAGGAATTCTGGGGCTAGGGGTCAGGAGAGTTGCCTTCCAAGTGTCTGGGCCTTCTCTCCCTCTTCCTGGTCAGCACCCATCTCAGCCACTTCTGGGCCAGCCATTTTCCCCCTTCCTGAAGCCCGGCAAATGACACGCCATCCACCCCCTTCCCTGCAGCCCCAGCCACTGCCAACTCCAGCTCCATAAACAGGGCCCTGTGGGAGGGAGCAACTGGAGAGCTCTGAGTTAATTGCCTGGTTAATTGTGTCATTTCTCTGCTAATGGGCACCCAAAGGGAGGGCTGTCCTGGGAAACAGGCCCAGCCAGGAGATGGGGCTGTCCCCAGGGAGGCCCAAAGCCTTCCTGGAACTGGCACCACAGGGACATGCACGCTGATTTGAACAGATCAAGCCAGATTCAGGGAAAGCCACAGCCTGATGCAGTGCTTCAGGCCACCATGTGTCCACCCTTCACAGCAACTCCCCAACGCATGCAGCCCAGCCTCTTAGGCCCCTCAGACTTGCTATTTCCTTCTTGTGGTGTAGAAGCCACAACCAGTGCACCAAATTCCACTTCGGGTCCCAAATAAAGCTTAATTCTAGATGCTCTACCGCCTCCATGAGGCCTTCCCAGCTGCCCTTGGCTGGAGGGGTTCTACCCTCCTTCCCCTGGCCAATTAATCCGCCCTTCTCTCATGAGGCTGAGCATATTCTAGGTTGCCACCCCAAACCAGTTTGTGTCCAAACCTCATCTTCCGAAATCTGGGATCCCCTAGATGGTGTAACCTGGCAGCCCACAGGTCAGGTCTAGCCCACAGACTGGCCCATTCCACTTGTGTATGTGGCTTGCCTGGTCCCTGAGGGTGCATGAGTTTGTAGCTCCTGTCACAGTGCCATCTGTCTCTTTGTGCACATCACAAGGCCTGGCCTGGGGCAGTCTGTGTATTTTTAGTCAGAATGAGTGGGGCTGGGCATGGGTGGGACCACTCTGGTGGTAACTGGAGTCTGAAACCTCCCTCATGCTCACAGAAGCTGGAAGAAACAACTACGCGTGCACGTCAATTCCGAACTCAGTAGATTACCCAGTGCAAGTCTCAGTCCTAGGTTAGATTTCCCCTGGCGCCCTATGGGCCAGGCTCTGGTTTGCATGTCATTCTGAGGAGGGAGCAGGTTGGGGATTTCTATGCCTAAACACCTCTGGAAGGCTACCAGGTGCCCAAACAAGTGGTAATTGCCCCAGAGCTAGGCCAGGAACTCATGCTAAGCAAAATCTTAAAACTGAGATTGGCAAACCACAAGTGGCCAAGCCAATCTGCCATCATGTTCTGGGCAGGGCCTGTGGAGCTGGCAGTCGGGGGCCTTTGTCTGAACAAGTCCAATTTATCTGCAGTTCCACTGAATATCCCCACTTTCATTTGCCACTTTTTAATGAGGCTTAAACGGTCGAACACAAATCAAGGTTTTAGGGACTCGAGTTCTAACCTCCTTCTATGAATATTTATGTCCTGCTGACAGCTCTCTCTGATTTCCCTCTAAATAGTCAGCTCCCCTCTTTATAACACAGCTGCTGGGCTGAGTGAAGGGAGGCTGAGGCTGTCAGGAGGCTCTTCAGTAGGCCACAAACCCATCCTCAGAAGGTGACCCTGCCGGGTCCCCAGCTCTGGGCCCCATCCAGGAAGCTGGCAATCGAACATCCTGCAGCATGTGCTAAAGCAGAATCCGGCTCTCGAGCAGCTGTAATAATGGGTGCAGAGATGCCGGGGGACCTGGCTGAAGAGGCAGGAAGGGTCAGGATGCTTCTTTTAGTTGTGACTGGAGTCAAGAGTGGTGGCTACAGAGCAAAGCTGACCTAGCAACATGGCCCTGAAAAGTGGGAGGGGATCCAGAAAATGGGCCTTAAAGGAATCTTTAGTTGGATTTTCAGTCAACTCTCAACTAAATGTTCATGGATTATGCCTTTTGCAGATTACCTAACGCAAACCTGTAGTTCTTGGTTTGCTTTCTCCCTGCCACCAGGCTGAAGGCAACAGAGAACAAGATAGCCAGAACCAGAAGACACAGTGGTCAGGACCAGATCGGGAGACAATGTCAAGAAGATTCCAGAAATGTAAGGCTTAAAGCTGGGCAAGCAGTTGGGAGCCCAAGTGCATGGAAGCCTGAAACTGTGGTTCCATGTTAAGTGTAGCGGTAAGGAGGACGGGCTATGATCAGCGCCCCATCTGTCACTCACTTGTGGTGTGACTGGGTGAGTTCCTTAGTTTTGTGCCTCAGTTGACTCCTCTGTAAGACAAAGACAACCATGTTTCATATCTCAAAGAGCTGGGGTGGGGTTGGTATGCAGCAGGACAAGTGAGGTGCTCAGAACAGCGCACTGCGTGGTGAGAGTTCAGTAAGCATTTGCTATCATTATCAGAGAACGGTTTTCACTGGATCTTTGGAGAACAATAAGAAACTGAGTTATTTTGTGGCAAGAGTAAGAGAAGGTGATAAAGGGGGGTGTGAGGTGGAGAGGAATCTCCATGGGCTGCTAGCTGGCAGCAGAGGGAGGGGAGCCCCTCTGGCGGAGATGTGGCCATTCCTCTGAGTCCATGGCAGCGTCAGCAGGGGGGACCTGCATGGTAGACCGTCAGACAGCAACACCTCCCTGCCCAGCTGGCTCAGGACATAGCATGCTGGGAACCTCATGATCCTGCCTGGGGATGGAGCTGGGGTGGGGCTCTGGAGCCAGTGCCAAGTTGCAGATGCGGGGCCTGGTGGAACCAGAGGATGAGAGAGTGGAGCAGTGTCCAAGGCAGAACAGTGTCAGGTGAGATCTGGACACCAGTGGGCATCTGAGGAAATGTGGAATGGCAGGTGGAGCCTGGCAGCCAGAGTCGGGGTTCATCCACACCATGGCTCTAGGGGGCTGGGCATGTGAAGCCCAGGGACTAAGGCAGAAAGAAGCCCAATCCAAGGGATCCAACCAAGTGGGAAGGGAAGGCTACACTCTGAAGGCCACAGGGCTCACAGCGAGTGGCAGGGAAGAAGACTGGCTGGCCCATGACTGGCTTAAGGGCTAGGACTTGCCTGGAGCTATAGGGGGAGCACTATTGGCTGTGACTGTCACGGCCAAGGTGGTGACAGCCAAGGCAGGAACCTAGAGGGCATTCATGCAGGCACAATGTGGGGACAGAGAGCAGGTGGCCCCAATATGCAATAACATTAAGAGCTATCTGTGTGTTACGTTTATACTTGGAAAACCAAGGTCAATTTTTACACAGGGAAAAAGAGTACTGTGTGTCAGTCATGGAGACGAGTCAGCAGGTGAAAGAGAGCTGCGGGGGCACAGGGAACCCTGGGAAGTATGAAAGGCTTTCCCATAAGTTAGCAAACTGTACCTCTGGCACCTCGCACAGATTGAGGCCTTGGTAGATGTGTGTAAAGCATTGTGCAAACAGTTCGGGGGACTGAGAAACAGGGGGGTGAGTGTGCAGTGTCCTTATGGAAAGTCTATTCTTGACCCAGAGACCTGCAGTGACTAACACCTGCCTGTGGGCACTGCTGGGGAATGTGCCTAGGCAGAGGGGAAGCAGAGCACTAGGGAAGAAGGGAGAAGGGAAGAGGGCGGGAGAAAAGAGGCATCAGGGCAGGGCATGGGGCAGGAGTATCCCTCAGGTAGCAGGGGCCCTGGGGACTGGGATCCAGTACTTTTGTGCTTTTAACAAAAAAGCCCCACAAGTGATGCTACCACACAGTCAGTATGAGAACTGCTGCTTTTGTTATTTGAGCACGGACTAAGGGATTAAAGCCTGGGGGTGAAGAAGAGACTCAGTGAGGAGAACGATGGGACCAGGGATTCTCCACAGAGGTGGGAATGTTT